GCTGTGCCTTGCCAGAACCTCACCTGCTCACATTACGCTGCACGTGAACCCCATTACGGAGAGTGTCCGCGCGACGCTATTTTAGATTCGCCCACCCACACCCGCCTCCGCCTGCCTGCCTGCCTCTCTCTCCTCCTAAGCGCCAAGGTTGCGCCAGTGTGTGTCTTGTTGCGTTATCACTGACGTCATATGACGTATCAGACCTGTGATTGGCCATGCATCCCTACTCCCCCTGTTGCTAGCTGTAATTGGCTTAAAAGTATTATGACGTGTCCACCTGGGAGGGAGGGAGGGAGGAAAGACGACGCTTGACCTAGCTGCAGTTTATCCTCAAGGCCACTCCGGTAAACGCCAAGATCCATTGTCTCCATAGAAATGGCTTCCGCCGACCACCACTCAATTCTCTAGAGAGAAACTTTTTCTTACTTCCTGGACCCAGCGTACTAAACCAAAGAAGACACGACGTTCCTTGGGTTACGAGGTGAAGTATAGCATCCAAGAGTTGGAGAAAGGAACAAGGCAGGTTGATTTACATACCAGCATGTATGCGGAACGAATTCCACGATCCGACTATAAAGAAGGATTCAGCTAAGATAAAGGAGCACATGAAGATCACAAAGTCTACAGGTGCTTCTATGATCAAGTATTTTCACAACCAGGTGTGCTTTCAAGACAGAAAATTACTTAGAGGTACTTGGTGCGCCAGGCGCGACGTGAACATGGCGGTCGACACGCGCTTCTGTTAAGGACTACGACGAACTGTACATGGCAGTGGCACGAAAGATGGGAACTTCAGAGCCCAAACCCTTTAATGCTTCCTCTGGGTGGTTACAGAGGTTTAAGATCTGAACAAGATCACCAATATAAACATTGGTGGTGAAGAGCGAGTGCTGATCGTATTCGCGGCTCGGGAATTTCCTCTGTTTTTACGTGAGATTATGGAGGAAGGACAGTACAGACGACCAGGTGTTTAACATGGACGAATCTGGTCTTTTCTGGAAAAAACTACCTTCCAAGTCCTCCGTTGTGAAGAATGCCAGCAGGATTCGGGGCCGGAAAATGCAGAAGGAACGCATCACCGTCCTGTTTACTACTCAATGCCCTCCGGTACCTGTAAGCCTGGGTTATCGGTGATCCACACAGTTCGCAAGCCGCACGCCTATAAGAGCATGTGGTGGACATGACTGCTTAATGTCCACTGCTGACCGCACGTAAGGTGCATGGATGTTCTCTACACTGTCCCTCTCCTGGTTTGATGATCACTGTTTTATTCCCGATGTAAAATAGGCCCCAGGAACGCATTATTTTGTTGCTGCTGGACAACGCACCAGGACACTCGCCCCTACTGTTAGATCGTCACCAACGTAAAAGTGGGGTCTTCTCCTTCCTCCCAACACTACGTCTTTAATCCAGCCCATGGACCAGGAGATTTGCAATATGAAAGCTGCATTCTCAACAAAAAAATTCCAGCTCCTGAACGACTACACCAACACCAGGGAAGAGTTGTGAACCTGAGTGACACCACCACCGAGTAGCAAAGAGCGAAGAAGATGAGATCAACAGTTAGAATAGCAAAAATACTCTTTCAAACAATTCTGGAGAGTATTTAACATCAAGAAAAGTTGTGACTTCTTTCTTTTGGTGGAGTCAGCGGGGGATCAGCTGTCTATTGCTACAATTGCCACGCATGGAGACATGTGTTGCATGGAATACCAGGTGAGAGGAGGAGTCAATTCAGACTGGTGAGGTTCAGAATGTTACAGTAGCAGTGGACCTGTTGTGAGAAGCTGCGAGACTGAAAATACAGTTCCAGGCTTCTGGAGAATACCAACCACAGAATCCTGGAGGTGATCAGAGATCCTGAAGTGACTGCCGACGAGATGCAAGTTGAAGGAAGAACACGTCAGTGAAGAGGAGGAAGAAGGCATCAGGTCTCCGAAGAACACAGTTAAGTCATAGTGATATTAAGGGTGCCATGGAGTGCAGAGAAGATGAAGTCCTCTTTCCCGCTGAAGCAATGACGATGACCGCGAGAAGTCTTCCATAACCGGTTGGTGCAGGCTATGGAGCCAAGACATCAAGGTGTATCATCACGACAACATCAACGCCAGCCGTCAGCAAAGCATAACAGATTTCTTCGCCCAACCCACCACAGCCAGCCCAAGCCAGTGATAGTGACAGTGAAGATGACTTGAGGGATTTGTCAGGAAGCCCTGACAACTGTAAGTGACAGATGATGATTCACCTAGTACGGTGATTCACCCTGAGGGCCAGTAATCTGCCTCTGCTCCTCGAGAAATCCAGCCCTCCATCCCGTATGCCGACCCATCTTTCTACTACCATAAGTTACACTTCCAATTTTAGTTTTCTAACCTTACCTTTATTTTTCCTATGTTAACCTTTTATCTTTCCTAACCTAACCTCTTTCTATATTACTTGTTTTTCATACCATCATAAAGTTAAGATAAAATTTTACTACAACATAGTTGTGTGTCACAAAAGTGGAGCTTGGGGGATCGGCCCGACTCCATCAATTAATCCTATATGTTATGTTATGTGAAGTAAATCACTGTAGGTGTAAGCGTGATTTGGTGTGTTGATAATCACGAAAGTTTTTCGTGGGTGAGTATTCACGTACCCCTGAAGATGTGAATACACGAAAGCGCTTTGGGAACTTTATGTGTTTTTCTTCTTTTCCTTGTATAATAGCATATATATATAATAGTAGTATGCTATAACGAACGTAATTGGTTCCAGAACCTCGTTCGTTATAGCATTCGTTCGTTATAGGATTAATCCGTTCCAGGCCCCCAAATACAACCACTTAACACTGAAAAAATTCTGTGGAAAATGTAAAAAATACGGTACTTTATCTTACCTTAGTGTTATTCAGCATGCAGGTACCCCTAAACACTGGCACAGCACTATCACTTCCACTGGGAGTCTTGGCTTTAAGGTCCTCAAACAATTGTCTGGCCTTCTCACAAATTATAGCTTCACTAATGTTACCACCTGCCATTTCTTTCTCCTTTATCCACACTAAGAGTAAATTTTCCATCTCTTCAATCACATTACACCTTGCTTTGCTAAGTCTAAAGATTCCCTTAGCCACTTGCACTGTTTTTAACTCCCCTTTATTCTTTAAAATCGTACATATAGTCGATTTAGCCATCCCATGTTCATCACTAAGTTTCGCAATGCTTCTTCCATTCTCACGTTTCTTTATAATTTCTTTCTTAGTTTCAAGGGTTATTAGCTTTCTCACTCGCTTTGGACGATTCGTTGTTACAATTGTATACTGTACTTGTATAACAAAATAGTTATACAAATAATGCGAATTTCCACATCAAAAGACGAAATTTCAACAATAACAGTGGTGCACTGGCTACACAATGAGACAAAGATTGCGCCTGACGCTCTTGTTGTGGGTCGCGGTACAACAATATTCATGCACCAGGCGAAATAGTCCCGTATTCATCCGCGTTCGTTGTAGGAGTTGCGTTCGTTATAGCATTCTCAATTTTATAGGTAAAACCGTTCGTTATAGGAATATTCGTAGTAGGATCCATTCGTTATAGCATACTCCACTGTATATATATATATAAATACTATATTGATTATTGAAACATGCAAACATTTTTATAAATTTAGGGGCCCACTGATGAGTTTGGCCTGGGGCCCCCCAAGTATGTAAATCCGGCCCAGCATAGCAGATACATGACCGAGTGCCCAAGTGGCTAACTAGCCATCAGTGGCAAAGAGGATAAAGGTAAAAGAAAAAGAAAAGTGAAGAAATTGTTAGCTCTTAAAGGAGGTAGGGAGAGGAGAGCTTTTTGGCTATTTTTTGAGACAGGAGTAATATCGATTTTATTTATGAAAAGAGAATTTCTGGTTTTCCTCCTAAAGGAGGGAAATCTTATTTCTTTTTTTAAAAGGAGGAAATATTTTCTTAATTGCTGCATGAGGAGAACAACTTTGTAAAATTCTAAAGGAGGGAAAATATCTGCATTCATTGAGGAGAAATACTGGAAGTTATATTAAATGACAATGAAAAGAAAAAGGGAGGAATGGTGGAGTTACAGTACAGTACCTGCAAGAAAACTAATGCCTGAAGGAGCAACAAAATATAAACTAGATGGTCTGTGTTCACAGATGATGTGTGGTTTGCTGATGAAAATTAGTAACATGCAAATGAAGTACACTTGAACATCAGAAACCAATAATCAATTTTCCAAAGTATGAATGGAATACTGGAATACAGTATAATCCAGTTTTACTAAAAAAAAAAATTTGGGGGGGGGGATAATAAACAACTTGATTTTCTGTTCAAAATAGATATTTTTCAGGATAATTTTTAGCAAAAAATAAGGTAATTAAGATAACTGTTTGTCAAAAAAAGGGACAAATTTAGAGTTAAAGTTCCTTAGCCTATTTTTTCCATTATCCCTTAAATTAACATAACATATGTAAATTACAGGTCCCTGCAGTGCAAAATTAAACACACAGAGCAGCCTTCAGTAAAAATATAACCAAATTAGTCATCAGAAACAGTTTACTAATTTAAAAAAAAAACGATAATGGATAAGAACTCCCTTTTTCACCTCATATATTCCAAAGAAAATTAATAATAGATTCTCCTATTATGCCTTCCTCTTGAAACTTAAACTTAATTTATCTACAGTATTTGTTATCTGTCATTTAACCCATTAGAAAGAAAGATAATAAATAAAAGATTAATTTTCCTCACTCATTCCACAAAACTGTGTCATACTTACTCCAGTCCTCCGAGATAGAGTGGCTGGTTGAGGTTCAGTTCTTTTAACCTGGGTCCACTTTTGCCCATGACTCTTCGGCCTTGATTGACTCGAAGGATGCCACGTCTCTTCTTGCGCCTCACACGTACCACATGCCATGTATTCAGCGCCACACGGCTAGGGCTCCTGTCGGCACAGTGAGGTGATAAACATTAGGTTGGAAATACGTGTTCACTGTTATAATAGTGGAGCTACTGATGTCTCAATCTTTATTAGTAAGTTTCTTCAAGGGTATACAATATATGAATAAAAACTTCCTTGCTGCATAAGAACTGATAACAACTAAATGCTCTTCTTCCTGTAGACATTAATGCTGAGATGTACTGTATTGCCATGAAAGATACGTGTACTATGTTTTTTTTTACAGTGAGCAAATACGGACCAATAGTGAACTGACTCTTCATGCAAGGTATTATGTGAGTGGAGACAGTATTCTTTTCTGAGATTGAGAAATGGATATCACCTTCATAATCTTCATCAGGACAAGACAACACTGAGGTACAAGCTGGTAATGATTAAAATGAAGCAAAAACAGAAGAAAAAAATAAGGAATATATCCAATAAGATTTACATAAAACAGCTTATTAGGAAATAAAAGGCTTGTGAAAACTTAAATCATAAAAAATATATAAATTAGTTGCCAAAGGAAATAAAATGCAGAAACAAAGGAAATACTAAGAAAAATCAAAGGAATAAATTCAACACGAGCAATAATCTAGTGTGTGGTATACAGGACAGTGGTGAATGTGAGGGCGGCAAAATGTGTGTGATGGTACCATTAAATCAATCCAATGCATTCAGCCTTCAAGAAGAGAAAGTATAGGGTCCTCTTGGCAGATGTTCGAACACAGAGTAAGTTTAGTGATCACAACTATAGTTTGGGGGCGTGCTTATTGTAAAAACTTCGAACATGTGATGGTCGAGGACTGGCATGGACCCGCACTAGGGAGAAGCTGTGTTGGCTACTCTGGGTGGTATACTGTATGAATGAAAGTACGGTGTGCATCATAGGTCGATCTCTACTGAACAACTGGTACTTGCAGAGAATAATTTAAAAAGTACCAGAGAGCTATTACAGTACTTGTGAATTTTAATCAACACTACAATATTGTTGTACTTAATGCTGCTACAGAAAATTAACATCTGGTCAGTAAAAATATATACAGTATATACCGGTTGTATAAACATTATATACAGAGATTTGATCAACGAATGCAGCAAAACTATTTGATGAAGGCTGTTGGACCATTCAACTACTGTACACAAATATACTAGCAAGTGACAGACTGTGAAGAGAACTAGAATGATAAAAATGAACTGTGACCATTTTTCTTTTTTACCACAAACAGTTGCTTCATACACTGGAAATATTTGGTTATCTCCTCCTGTAGCTGTAAATTTGTACATTTTATTTGCAATCTAATACTAATTTATAGTTTCTATTTTATTTTTCAAATTTACAATAAATATAACATTGAACTTTGACATTACCTATCATGCTAATTCATGAATAATTAATCAGTAAAGTCTGTAGCTTAATACATCTATTCATGAAGACTTATAATTCTGAAATTGCTGACACACATTTTTATAAGTTCAAATCAATTTACATTTCAAGAAACTAGGTTAAGTTATTGTTAGTGCAAAAGCTATGTAAATACAGCTACAGAAGTATTATTCTTGAACCATAGCATATGCTAATAGGTTTTGTTAGATCTGGTATAACGTGCAGCTTCAAATTACATGATCCTTGGCTTTGACTACTTGACTGCTCTTGTGATATTTTAACGTTTTATCCCAAGATTAAATTCCAGACATCTTTAGCCTCAAGCACTGCCCATATGCAGCACGGGTCCAGACCAAGAGCTTGAGAGTGGCTAAAGAGACGTTACTTGTGCCAGAGTAAGTTCAGGAACAAATTGTGCTTGTTCATGTTGCTCACTCTGACCTGAAGTTTACCACCTACACCAGTGGCCCACTACTTACTTCAGCCTGAATCTGAAACAACACATTATAATTGGTGATTCTGTGTGGGAAGCGGATCTAATTTTGTGACATTCATTAATCTGAATAACAACGCTCGGACATGGAAGTGGTAAACACCGGACACTCCTTAAAGGTGAAATTTTAAAGGTGCAGGACTAGCAACTGGGACTTACAAGAGCTTGATAGTTTATCACCATCATGCCCCATTCTCATGCCCTCGATAATCCCCTCCCCCCATAGATGTATAATAATATTGTCTAAAATAGAGACTATAATGCAACTTATCAAAAGACTGCATCAAGGTATCCTAAGGGAACTATTAAAAAATTATACTCGTATAAAATGGGTCATTACTCACACTAAAGTTGCGAGACCAGAACCGAGGTTGTACGAAAATTCGACATGTCCATTGCGAAGATTAAGTGCAATGAAGTCTCCTCCTCCACCCATCTGTCCATTGTAGAGCAGTACACCATCTGGTGATCTGGTGAGGAACCAGATCTCCAAAGCTAGTGAGTTGCCCACATTCTCCAGGGTCGGGAGTTCCAAGTAGGCATCACCGTCAAAGTCAGGGATGACTACCTCACGGAGGGTGCGGTCCACTGTAAAAAGATAAAACAGTGAGCATATCATGTTATAGTATGTGAATAGAGAAAGAAGCTCAGATATGATTAAGAGTTTAAAACTATACAGTATATATATATACAGGGTATATATATTACAACCCACGATACAAAATGTTCAACTAAAGAGCATAAGATAGTCAGGAGGATGGAGAGACTGAAGGAGTATACTGGCCCTTCCATCAACAAGGGTAAGAGGTTACCTACCTGTAAATAACGTTCATGGTATGCCTTTAAGTGATGCTACTAACCCAAAGAAAACAAAACCCCACAGGATCTAAGAAACTGACTCTACTAATCCTCAAGGTTTCAAAGAGGACAAAACAGTACCCCTGTATTCAAAACTGGGCTAATGAAGTGTTAGTACATTAATGCCATAAGTCTCATTAATAATACTGTGGTACTGAAGGATATGTAAACACACAACAACCTGACATTATGGAGACCAGTGAGTCATACAGACCATGAAGATATAACCAGGATAATTTTATTTACCAGGGTATCTCCCACCATTCAGAAAGTGCAGGGCTACAAGAGATGGAAGTGTACTACTATACAGTATGTCAGGGAACACCCAGCAGTACCAGCCATGATAAGGTAAGTGAGATGAAATCATCTAAATATATCTGGTGTTAACAATAGTTAACAGATGCTGATTCATCAGGAATGTACATTGGCATCTGCAAGAGAGAGCTGTATAACACACAGCTGTAGGTTATTTTTCCATGTATTATTGTCTATATAATGTACACTCACCACAAAAATGTTCTCAAATAGCCGGGCGCGACAGATTTCATAATGAACACTACGACTCGTGTCATTTCCGAATGGTTGGTATGCCTGGCTGTGAAGTGACTCTCAATATTTCATAATAAAATATGATGCTTGTCTTTATAGTTATTTACAGATGAAAAAAATTAATTTAATTTGCAATAGAACTTTTTCAGAGAGCAATGTTCAGATTTCTCGTTTATATTGTCATATTGTATGACCCTTTGAGCATTCAAGAACTTTTTATGGTGAGTGTATAAGTGATGAAATATTACACTAAACATAATCATATATATTTCAACTTTGGTATCCCAGGATCAGATACAGTACTGCAACCTAAAAATGTTCTAAATATTTTGAACTTGTTTGCCTGCCTCCATTTGCATCATATGTGTCCCACTTACCCTCTCAGGTACAGGTACATCTGTGCAGTAGCATCATAAATAAACTCTCATCACTGTGGTAGAAACATGATGTGGAAAATAGTGTACTTACTCTGGTCACACAAGGTTCCAGTCCTGCCTGGTGGACACCTGCAGTGGAAGCCCTCGGAGGGTAAGGACATGCAAGTGGCTCCCGCCTGACATGGTTGGCTCTCACACGGGTCCAGACGCACCTCACATCGCTCTCCTGTGACAACAAGACAACACAGTCACAGAATTGAAAAATGAGAGAGAATGATTGTGAGATACAGTACTACTGTAATCATTCAAATAGCAAGAAATAAATACAGTAGAGACTTCTCATATATAAGACTTTCCCTACATGTTACCGATAGTACACTTTTTTACTTTTTTACTTTTATCCGTTTCACCCTAGACATCTCAAACACCTTAGACAAGTAAGAAATATCTCCTCAAACTAGGTAGAAAAAAAAAACTTCAATTTGTCTGAGAAGCCAATATAAGGTTGCATAGTGCTGAGGTTCACAACAATCTCAGTTTCTTATGGTGATATTATGATCACAACTTAAAATAAAAGAAAAAGTAAAATTAATTACAGGTCCCATCCTGTACTTGAAGAGACAATAAAAGCAGATATACTTCTACAAAATTTACTTTGGAGCTTGATCACACTACAGTGGATCAGCGAGGCAATATGAGGATTATCTTAACATTACAGTATTTATATTGACACACTTATAGAATACAGGGGGTTCCCGGGTTACAAACAGGTTCTGTTCCTGATACAAAACAATGTTTAAAATCCCACTATATCATATCTAAAATCACTTAATTTTAGACAAAAGAAGAAATAGAATGATAAAATACAGTAAATGAAATTAAAAATTAATTCATAAGATAAATAAAATACTGTACATTTCAAGTTTAACCCCATTCAAATTGGCGGGCGTTCGTAAGCCAGGGACCTCCTGTATATAATTCTGTAATCTAGACTGATTTAAGTGGAGTCCTCCAACTATACTAAGTAAAAGGTTTTATCTTGCCCTTCAATCAGTCTAACATAGCAAAATGATATTAATCACACCAAAAATTTCTGACACATGGCATGACTTGGGTTGGAACAGTGACAGAATAAAGCCCAGTTTCCCATACCAGTACTGTATACAGTACAGTATCATCAGAACAGGGATAAATTTTCCTAAGAACAATGTTGGTTACCGAGAATGAAATACACAGGATGCCAAAGATCCAGTCAATAACGATGTTAACAATGTTTACCAGTATTGTATGTTAATTTAAACTACAGTATGTTTAATTCACATTTAAATTATAATGAACCAAACTGTTGAGCCTGAAGCAATAATCCTACACTCCCCAGCACACTGTTACATGTACTATGGAGAATTCTTAGCCACCCCAAGGCTCTTACCTCCCCATAATGCTACTAACCAGTATATCCCTGTATGCAGAGACACTTAAAGTGACCATCATCAGTAGGTCTGCAGGAGCCCTGGTTGAGGCAGGGGAGAGAGGCACATGGTGAGGCAGAACATTCGCCCACATGCTCTGCCCTCACCACATGTGGGGAGCCCGGCCATATCAGGTCTAGTGGTCGTCCGTTGATCCTCACTGAACGAAGGCACCCAACCAGGCCCTCTGCTGTGCCTGTGTTCTCCCACACTCTGATGGAGGAATAATTATTGTTAAAAAGGTGTTGGAAAATTAGTTTAAAGTACAATGCTGTCTCGATACATGCAGGATGATCAAGTTGTCATATACAGATATATTTATTTAAAATGTTATAGCAAATAATGGTTCCAGCATTCTACTAACTTTGTGATCTAACATAATCAACTAATTTAAATGACAGGGAGGTGGGTACTGTAATCTTGGAGGAGGAGTGACTATGGCCTGCCTTGTCAGCTAAGAAAGCCCTTGGAATTCCTACACATAATGCCTAGTTTCCACTCTGTAAAAATGTGATTGCTACAGGAAGGGCATCCAGCATAACTGAGATACCATGCCATCAGGTAACCACAACTAACCCACTCAAGCTTGAAGAATGACCATTAAACAGTGATGAGGATGATGATGATGATGATAATAACAATGAAGTCAGATACAATACATAGGAAGCGGTTTCCACAATCTTAAATTCAGAATTAATAAACACAAAAAAATTATCTCGTAAAACCATTTTGTTTGTGAAATCCTAATTTTATGATACTAGCAATGACCTTAAAAAACAGTTAATAAGTGATCGTGTGGTGTGGTAATTATGTGTGTGTGAGAATTTTCCATTTTAGTCAGCGGAAAACTCATCACTTGGTTCAGAGATATAATGTACAGTGGGGTATGGTATAACGAACGGATCCTACTACGAATATTCCTATAACGAACGGTTTTACCTATAAAATTGAGAATGCTATAACGAACTAAACTCCTACAACAAACATTATTTAATTTTTTTTTTTTTCTAATTTATTGTTTTTTTATTACAAATATTAAATGATATTCTTTATTTCAGGGGTTTAGATGCATATTTATGCACTTTTTTACAATTTTTACAATTTTATATTATATTTTTCAGTGTTAAGTGGTTGTATTTGGGGGCCTGGAACGGATTAATCCTATAACGAACGAATGCTATAACGAACAAGGTTCTAGAACCAATTAGATTCGTTATAGCATACCCCACTGTACTGTATATCTGTATTATATTTATGACATTAAAAGTGTTTAATGAACTACTAACACAATGAGGACCAGAGTAACAGTCTCACCGTCTCTCATTGGTGGGGACGTAACCAATGTATGTTGAGCCACGCAGGTCTAGGCTCTTAAGGTTCCCTGGAGCCTTGCCAATAGCATCCTCAGACTCATCCAGCTGCAGGATCCCATCTCGCTGGTACCTCTTGGCCACCACCTGAAAGATCACAGATGTCTTAGAAGTGTCCCATTACCAGAGCACCACATATACAAATCATGAGTTAGTATAGTTCACATGTTTCTGAAAGGTACACAACATTTTTAGGTACCATTCATGGGGAAATTATAATGCACATTCTTCAGCTTTTATGGACACTATTATCATGTAAGGAGGTAAGGGAAATTGATGATCATTTTATACACTGGCAAAAATACTGTCAAGTGGCATGGGAAATTTTTTAATATTACAGTGTATTGACAGAGGGTAGGGAAATTAGCAGAGGTGTGAAAAACTGGCATGCATCTTATGAAGTGGTTACAAATTTAAATATTCTGTATGTTAAGTATAATTACTAGGCGCCATTCAAATTGGTAAGGCTTACTAGTGAACATCCTTAACAAAAATATGTGTATGTAATTAGCAAGAATCATAATAATGGTAAAAGGATTCAACACACAAATCTTCTAAAGTGAAAAGACAGTAACCAAAATCTTTTAAAATGAGAAAGGACATTATATATACTCTACCTTATAGCATATAGGATCATGTTAACTCTTGACACATGTGTAACCATATAACTAAAAGCATTAAGAATGGGTAAACATCCTACAGCATATAATTATTAATTTGAGAATGTGTGCAACACAATACAGAGTTTGTTGTAAAACAAGATCCAGGGTGACCAATAAGTTACATGGGATCTTGTATCCTTAGTACAATACTGAATGAGCTTGAATACTCAGAAATGTTCATTGTGATTCAACCATCACTCAGGTGCCAGATTTTGCAGGATCAAAACTCTTTACTTACTCTTCCTGTCTTCAGATAGTGGACTACCCTGCAACTCCCCATTTATGAAGTGGAAAGTCCTGATCACATACCCTATGGAAGCGCTTCATTTGTACCCGTTCATGGCTGCGGATGAGGGCAGGTCCTGACCCTAAGTTGTATCGAAATTCAACAAACCCGTTGACGAGGGCCAGTGAGAGGAAGTCGCCAGAGCCATCCTTCTGCTGCTGGCTGTAGAGCAGAATCCCACTGTCTGTGAAGGTTCGGAACTCCAGCTCGACCTGGTGTGCCAAGAACCAAATATAAATTAACAGATTAACATTTCACTGTAATGTATGAAACTTGTGTATTATAAATTAACAGGTTAACATTTCACTGTAATGTATGAAACTTGTGTATACAAATTAACCCTTTGAGTGCATCACAAGAGTTCCTGGGCATTCTCTAAATAAGCAACTTTGCAATGAAAAATGAAAATAATATTTTCAAGTTTTTTTTACAGGGGAATTTCACTTACTGGTACAGTATACTGCATCTATGACAATAGGATATCCGTTTCTGGCATTAAAGTTTAAAAAAAAACTCATTATCTTTCAAAAACTAGGTTTTTATCATGAAAATGAGGAAACATATTTTTGTTAAATCCTGATATTTGCCCACCTCTACTGTTTCTAATGGCCCAAAACAAATTTAGAAGCATGTTTATTATATAGAAAGTCATAAATGAGTACTGTATATATTACTGTATACTGCATATTCAAGTGGCTAATGAGTCGATCAGTGGTGAAGAGGACAAAGGAGAAAAAGAAGAAAAGAAAAGAATAATGGCCACCACAAGATTCACAGAAGATGGTATTAGTACAGTGATCCCTCGGTTAACGAGCGCCTCGGTTAACGAGATTTCGGTTAACGAGTTACCTTCCATAAGATTCTTAACTTCGGTTAACGAGCAATCCCTCGATTAACGAGTTTTTTACAAGCCGACCTCAACATGTTTTCGCTTGTATTTGGTGGTCCACCAGCTGTAGTATTAGTCCGCCAATACAGTAATCGGTTTTAGGGCTTAAATTCCTTACTATTTTAGTAAATATCAAGAAGTTTATACTATTCAAAAATTTTAAAAGTTTAATATTAATATTTTTTAGTCATTTTAACAATTATTGAACATAATTGAAGGTCAAGAAACTAGTTTCTGGCATGCCACCCAGGCTGTTAACACACAAACAGGTGTTAGTCTCTCTCTCTTTTCAGTGGAGGTAACATATTGCTTGAGACTCTCTTCAACTAAATGATTTTTTTCTGTGTTTCCAAGCAAATTATTGGTCATTTTGAAATTTATTTTACATATTGACAATATATAATGCAGTGCAGTGTTGATTTAAAGAAAATAATCTTAAATTACACCAAGAGAACTAAAATTTTATGGGTGAAATGGTGCCATGGGGTGACTTCTCTTCCACCCCAATGCCTTCTCTTCTCCCTTCTCCTCCATCCCCATTCTAATTCCCATCATCATCATCATCCAGGAGCCTTCTACATACACACCTCAAAGTAAGTGTGCTTTTCTACATTTTTTGTTGAATTTAGGTAATTTTCTGTGAGCTGGAACCAATTACCCAAAAACCCATTGAAACAATGGTTTCGGTTAACGTGTTTTTCGGTTAACGAGCAACATGCTGGAACGGATTGTGCTCATTAACCAAGGGACCACTGTATAGGTAAGTAGGTTGAATATGAGAGGGGAAAACTTTTTTGACAGCTGTGGCAACAATGCAACCACCACACCTTAGGGTAATATTGCCAAAGTAACACTGACGGGTTGAACAACAATTTCATTACATTAAAATATGTCTTTGTCTTAACTCATGGTAACCATCTGAAAACCAGGCCAAACAAACACCAATACAGAAAATACTTAGAATATAGAGAAGAGAAAGAGTTAAAAGTCTATACTGTCACAAGAAATTTTTATTCAGTGAATTTTTATACTGGTATTCTCTTAATGACTACAACTAAACACATGTTCTCATTGAAGTGATGAGACTTTCACTTGCTGCTTTTAATGGCAACTTAATTTTAAAATGTTTATATAAATGGGACAATTTAATGTTTCCAATTTATTTCATGTGAATATCGTAGATGATATGTAAACAATGGGCTAAACACAGCTGCAGTATTAATAATAATGATTAGAAGGAGCTAATATGTGAGGTTAAGACTTGACGTTAAATTATTGATATAATTATGACAGGATGTTGAAGCAAAATGTAAAAATAAAGGAGTAAACTTTTAATATACAGAGTACATATAAAGTATATGATTCTTTCATGCAACAGCACAACATGCTTCAAACAATATACGGGTAGTAGAGATATCACTAACAGCTTATGACACATTGCCAAGTTGTGCAAAACATTTTAGATTCGTTTCTGTTCATGATGTTGCTGAAAATCAATACTGTACTGTACAGTACAGGTACTATCTATAACTGTACTTTAATAAGATTGGATAATGTGTTCGTGCTTTTGCAATGTCATTACCCTGAAGGTGCAACAGTACATCCAACAAAAGTTTGGTTGGTGTCTTAAGTAACCTTCACATGAGGTTGGGAGTCCCCTTAATACTGGATCACTGATAACACCTTACTACCTATCATCTGACCAGGAAGTGTCTGTTTCTCCCACAGGAGCTTAAAACACTACCTTAGATCCAAGCCCGAATGACTCACCTGGACTTTGTTGTAAGCCTTGATCTTCTTCACCTCCAGGTAGGAAGACCCACTAAAGGAAGGAATTTCATAGGGTGGTGGCAGCTCCTCCTCGCACTGGGAACCTGTGGCTCTCGGGGGACAGTCGCAGGAGTGGCTTCCGTCGGGTAATTCTCGACACGTACCTCCTCTCTGGCAGGGCTGACGGCTACATGCCCCCACCACCTCCTCCCTCCCTGGGGTGTTGACTGCCGGGGTGAGGGAGGGGACCACCATGAGAAATAAGCAAGGGGCACAGGCAGAATATATCAAGCAATACAACTTCATCCTATACCATAATTTAATACTGTATACTATATTCTTAGTACAGTACATAGCATTACAAACATTACTATATTTATCTATGAATATTATATGACTTACAACCGAAACTTAATAATATAAATGATACAGTACACAGATAGTGCAGGTGCAGGCGAGCCATGCAGTGTAGCACCTTACCTTGCGAAGAGCTGGACACTTACCTACACACGTCTGACGATCGGCGCTCTGCGTGAACCCACCACGGCAGGTACAGATGGAAGACTTGCAGCGGGAGTATGGTACGGAACAGTCCTTGTCCCGGTAACAGATGGAGCCCAGCAGCCCGAAGGCGGCTATGGTGACAGGCGTGGGCGGCACACTGAAGATGCTGTTGGAGAGGCTGTGGGTGCTGGAGCCAGTCCCACTGCCCACTACATACTCCGGCTGCAGCAGGTGACGCGTGGCCTTCGCTGTCTCCGCCCGGTGTGGCTCCGTGGACAGGGGGGCAGTGGAGCGACGCAGCGGGGACTCCGTCACACCATCAGACTGGTTGCCTACATCAGGTTGTTGGCACATAAGAGCAGTGCCACATGGGATGTTAGTCCACACTTGAATCTGCTGTCTGTGAGGGTAGTACTGTCATAGGGACAGTATCACCTCTTCAAGGACTCTGTCACCCCAGCAAGGACAGTTACATCCCCATGAGGACAATGTCAACCCTTTAAGGATAAAGTTATCCCTTCTAGTACAATCAACCTTTTAAAGAAAGTGACACCATTCAAGGAAAATGACACCTCCTCGGAGTGACAACCCTTTAAAGAAAGTGAAACCTCCTTGAGGGCAGTGACACCTCTTCAAAGACAGTGTCACCCTTTTGAGGACTATCACCTCAATGGCAGTACCACCACCTCCAGGACAGTGTCATCACGTGAAGAAGAATGTTACCATCTCCAAGAGTGCCACCATTTCGAGAACATATACACCAGATCCAGGACATTTTACAATTTGACAACAATGCTACTCCCTCTACAAACACAGGACCACCACATCGAGAACAATGCCAACACCACAAGGACAATTTCTCTACTTTAAGTGCCATCACAAAGAAAACAATGCCACCCCTAGAAAGCAAAGTCATTATATCGAGGACAATGCCACCACCTTAAGAAGAGCCAACCTCTCGAGAACAGTACCACCACCATGATGACAAGGACAACCATCTCCAGGAGAGTGCTACCACCTTCAGGACAGTACTCACCTCAAGGACACTGCCACCACTCCTAGCACAGAGCCACCACAGAAGAACTTGGGAGTGTGTCTGCAGTACAGGCAGTGACTGTCAAGATTCTCTATGATAATGTTGTCCTTTGTGAGCAGGCGTTAATGTGCTTCCACCGATCAATTTGAGGATGGTAACCCAGCCTAAGGTGAGCTCGTCAGGACCTCCTTCTTATCTTTAGTACCTAGTTGGTGTCGCTGTGTGTACTCTTAACAAACCCCGACCATCTAGGAATAATGTAAACACCAACTGATAACAACAGTGACAGCAATAGGCAGATGAAAGTCTATACTGTACTATACTGTGCCAAGGCTTATTTTGCCTTTCCCCCACTCTTTACACTCCCCATTGTCTAAAGAACTTATTATAGTGCTAGTTACCGACTGTAATATACTGTTACTGACTTGAAGTTACAGTCATAATCATCATAAAGTCAGTCTCACCAAAGTAAAGATTGTGTCACCATGTGGAAAAAGTGTCAAGCTCTTGCAGAAAGTGTCGCCATCTTAGTCAGTGTCTCTAAACTGAGGAGAGTAACCTAAATTCCCTCTAGTGATTAGATATGTCTCTGTTCTTTGAAGACAGTGTCACCAACCTCACCACCTTGAAGACAGTGTCACCACCCTGAAGACAGTGTCACCAACTTTACCACCCTGAAAACAGTGTCACCACCCTGAAGACAGTGTCACCAACTTCACCACCCTGAAGACAGTGTCACCACCCTGAAGACAGTGTCACCAACTTCACCACCCTGAAGACAGTGTCACCAACTTAACCACCAGACAGTGTTGAAGACAGTGTCACCACCCTGAAGACAGTGTCACACCCTGAAGACAGTGTCACCACCAGTGGAAGACAGTGTCACCACCCCTGAAGACAGTGTCACCACATTGAAGACAGTGTACCAACTTCACCAACCCTGGAAGACAGTGTCACCACCATTGAAGACAGTGACAGTGTCACCACCCTGAAAGACAAGAGTGTCACCACCTTCACCACCCTGAAGACAGTGTCTCACCACCCTGAAGACAGTGTCACCCACTGAAGACAGTGCTGAAGACAGTGTCACAACTTCACCACCCTGAAGACAGTGTCACCAACTTCACCACCCTGAAGACAGTGTCACCAACTTCACTCACCCTGAAGACAGTGTCCACATTGAAGACAGTGTGTCACCAACTTCACCACCCTGAAGACAGTGAAGACAGTGTCACTCCTGAAGACAGTGTCACCAACTTCACCACCCTGAAGACAGTGTCACATTGAAGACAGTGTCACCAACTTCACCACTGAAGACAGTGAAGACAGTGTCACCACATTGAAGACAGTGTCACCAACTTCACCACCCTGAAGACAGTCACCAACTTCACCACCATGAAGAAGTGTCACACCTTGAAGACAGTGTCACCAACTTCACCACCCTCAACTTCACCACCATGAAGACAGTGTCACCACATTGAAGACAGTGTCACCAACTTCACCACCCTGAAACAGTGTCACCCACCCTGAAGACAGTGTCACCAACTTCTGAAGACAGTGTCACCACTCCTGAAGACAGTGTCACCAACTTCACCAACTCAGTGCACCAACTCACCACAACAGTCACCACCCTGAAGACAGTGTCACCACCCTGAAGACAGTGTCACTGAAGACAGTGTCACCAACTTCACCGAAGACAGTGTCACCACCTGAAGACAGTGTCACCAACTTAAACAGTGTCACCAACTTGAAGACACCCTGAAGACAGTGTGCACCCTGAAGACAGTGTCACCACACCCTGAAGACAGTGTCACCAACTTCACCAACCTGAAGACAGTGTCACTCACCTTGAAGACCACCAACTTCACCACCTGAAGACAGTGTCACCAACTTCACCACCTGAAGACAGTGTCACCAACTTCACCACCCTGAAGACAGTGTCACCAATCACCCTGAAGACAGTGTCACCAACACTCACCATGAAGACAGTGTCACCACCTGAAGACAGTGTCACCAACTTCACCACCCTGAAGACAGTGTCACTGTCACCAATTCTGAAGACAGTGTCACCACCCTGAAGACAGTGACCCTGAAGACAGTGTGAAGACAGTGCCAACTCACCACCTTCACCACCTTGAAGACAGTGTCACCACCCTGAAGACAGTGTCACCACATTGAAGACAGTGTCACCAACTTCACCACATTGAAGACAGTGTCACCAACTTCACCACCCTAAAGACAGTGTCACCAACTTCACCACCCTGAAGACAGTGTCACCAACTTCACCACCATGAAGACAGTGTCACCAACTTCACCACCCTGAAGACAGTGTCACCAACTTCACCACCCTGAAGACAGTGTCACCAACTTCACCACCATGAAGACAGTGTCAGCACCTCACAGACAGTGCATCATCAAGTGTGAGCTGCGTCGCATGTGGGAATCTTAGCAACATTCGGGCAAAACAAAGGTGCAACACAGGTGTCCACAAAACAGGTAACTGTCAAGCGTCAACACTGCCATATCTGGGAACACATCGGAACATGTAGCAAACACGAAGCCACGTGAGCAACTACAAGTGATCTAAGTGAAAAGGTTGCATAAGAAAACTGGTCACACAGAATTGAAAAATAATGATGAAGAGGTTCCTGAGATGGTGACAGTGGGACGCTTGTACCAGTGTAAGGGTGATTGGTGGTTTTACTATTTATATAAACATGAGCTTTATGGTCAAACCTAAATTGACTTGTGTGGTCATTTTCATTTTATCATCCTGTGTCACGTTGAAAGGGGTGCACACTTCGAGAGACTAAGAACTCCTAATTTTCGGTGAAAAAGATGCTGAAGATAGAATTTTACTTTGCGTGCTACAGAACTTAAAATTTCAGTGTCAATATACAGTATAGTCAAATCATTCACTTTAGTGGGAATGCCAGCCGCAGTGACTACATCTACAGTAGACCAACAACTTCATTGAAGGTATTCACAGAAAATGATCCAAACCACTAAGTAAAAGCAAGAGATAACATTATTGTTTATCAGGAAGTCAAACTGAAATATATTAAATACTGGTTGTATCCTTGAAATTCTCAGTACTGTAATTATTTACTACAGAAATACAGTGTAAGAATAAAATTATATAATGAAGATGAGGTAAGAAGCTATGTGACAGCAGCATCAATAAGACTCCTGGCATTCCCTGAGTATCGACAATGTTTGGCACACACCCGGAAGTTTCTGGCCCACCCGGTGCACTGGCAGACCCACACAGTGTCCATGGGGCCAGAAACCCGCCAGCTGTGTCCTGTTTAATGATAAAAGTGCGTAAAATGGGACAGAGCGAGGCTAAGAGGGCATAGTGCAGGTGTTCGCAGCACGACACAGACACAGGCGTGCTCTCCCCACCCTCCCTTGATTTCATCCCCTCCTCCCTACCCGTCCCACTTACATCTCCCACCTCTCACCAAATTGGGATCTTCCAAGGTTTACAATGGTAAATAACCCACTCGCAATTTTTCAATCTTACTCAAAATTACAATGTTGGCATTTTTTTTATTGTTAAGTTCCACGATACAGTGTCAGTTCCACCAAATATATCACAGGATAAAATTCTTCACATTACACTTAACATCTACTCAAAGATATTTTTTTACAATTCAGGTTAAATACTCCATTGACTAGACCATTAAAGTGGAAGGTTTAACATTTGAAGGTTTAATCAACTTCCTCATATTTTACATTATGGCCAAGGATTCAGACACTTAAGATCCCAAGAAAGCGAGGGTGAGGGGTGTGTCTGTGGTCCCTCCTGCATGGTGCTCACCTGGTAGGGAACACGGACCCAGGGCATCAACCACCACATCCTTCTGGTAGTGACATGCAAATAGTCTCAGGTGACACTCGCTGGCATACGTCTCCCCGTCAGAGCCGCAGACAGTAGGCGCTGCTGATGAGTCCTCAGGGCATTGCGCTTCACACTGTGGGCAGAAGGTCACTGAAGCTCACGACAAGAACTGCCTATGTACAAGTATTGAGAGTTCAGAGGTGATGTCAGTGTTTACATAGTGGGTATAAGAGTCAGGTTCTGTCACAGTGTGTTAACATTGCCAGTGTGTGTGTGTGTGTGTGTGGAGTTTAAGCAATTAAAAAGTACTTAATTATTTCAAGGCTCAAATTTCAAAATTTTGAAACCAGATTCTTAACCAGCACATCAAGGAGTACCTTAGTGTAAAATTTTAACAAAATATATTTTTCGGTGTCACATGCTGAAATACAAGATAATAAGGCCAGAAATCTAGCATGTTTAAATGGTAAATTTAATCTATTTCACAGAAAAAAATGTATATAAAGGTTAATTAAAACTTACTGGCACAGCATAATTCAAGGCTCATTAACTGGGATTTTGAGCAAATTTTATTTTTTTTTACACCCAAAAGTACAAGGTTAAGGCTTTGTAATTTTTCAAGCGAAATATACTTTTCTCTCTGAATTGGAATTTAAGAGGGTTAACTAATTAAGTACTTCCAAAATAACACAACACAAAAATCGCACCTCGGAAACCCATAGTTGGCGAGTATATAATTAGCAATGAAAATGTCATTAACCATATCTATACACTGCTTATAATGTACCCTATTTTGACGAATATAAGCTGCATTTTTTTTAAATAAGTAATTTTTTATAATTCAATTTACAGCTTTATTTAAATTAGATATTTAAATCAACCAACCCTGGTTTCGGCATCTGACAAAAATAAATTTTGTTAAAATTTCATACAAAGGTACAGTACAGGACTCCGTTACATGATGGTTAAGGAACTACAGCACTTACAAAAACTTAAAATTTGAGCACTGTAGTTAGTGTTAATGAGCCTTGAAAAAATTAGATACCCTGTACTGTACTTTTAGAATATCTAACGGTTAGACATTCTAAAAGCACAGTACAGGGTATCTAATTTTTTCAAGGCTCATTAACACTAACTACAGTACTCAAATTCTAACCCGTCAGTTACGCTGCCTGTAAGTTTTAAATTACCTTTAAATACATTTTCTCAGTAATATTAGCTAACTTTATCATTTAAGAGACACTTACTCTAATGTCTTGTGTTTTGGCATGTGACATAAAAAAATAGATTGTTTAAATTTCATACAAAAATCGTCCTTTAAATGCTAGTTAATGATCTGGGTTCACAATTTTTGGGGTAAAAAAAAAATTGCTCAAAATCCCAGTATAGGTGGTCCTAGAGATGCAGTTTAAGGATCTGTGGTCGAATTGTTAAAATGTTGATAATTTATTCCGATTATTACATGTCCTCATATCAATTCCATAATTAATTAACAAAACTTCATAATCTATGAAACAATTAAGACTATTAATTATCAAAATTTAAAAAATTCTACCACAGATTCTTAATCAGCATGTCAAGGACGATGTATTGGCCCCTTAGTTTTTATATAAATGTGGGGTAGTACATTAGTTTTATATACTCCATCACCCCCTGTAACTTTCCACTAGCTACGAGGTAGCATGTTCAGATAACATGATAAGGTGTGCCCACGGGAAGTCACGTCACTTGGTGCTGAGCTAAGGATTAAGTAACCGGCTCTCTGGCCACATATTGCAGGCAGTAGTTTGATAACCCTGACGAGAGGAAGACGTTATTGAGAGCCATCGTGGACGGTTCCGTCTTCCCTCGAGGGAGGACGTCGGATATATTTCCGTTCTCCCTCGACGGGTCCCTACCCATTCTCACTCAACTCTCACATCGTCAGGACGTACTTAGCAGAGCTATTTAAGATAGCCTCCCTCCTCATTTAACACTCATAGCTACAGTGGTTAAGTTACGGTGATATACACTTGGAACTGTACATAATATATTTCCTTATAAATTAAGAGAAGACAGTTGGGTTTATGCTACTAAAAACCCACGTTCCAGCCCCATTGCCTTATCAAGAATCAGCGGTTAAGGGCCAGTTCAACAACCTGTCTTAATTGTATCATAGATTATGAAGCTTTGATAATTAATTATGAGATTAATATGAGGACATGTAATAATCAGAATAAATAAAAAATTCAACAATTCGACCACAGATCCTTAATCAGCAGGTCAACGACAACCTTTACTGAGATTTTGAGCAAAATTAATTTGCTCAAAATCCTAGTATAGGTCGTCCTCGACGTGCAGATTAAAGATCTGTGGTCGAAATGTCGAAATTTTTATAATTTATTCTGATTATTACTGATTGTACTTAAACTCCAATTCTGAGAGAAAAGTATATTTCGGTCGAAAAATTTGAAAGGCTTAAATTTTGGGCGGTATGAGAATAAAGAGAAACAATTAATAAATGAAGAAGTAAACACGAGCCATTATACAGTATAAGTGTTCATAGGCAGATGTACAGTTTTACAGAACTTCACATTTCTAATACAAGTATGTAAACGACCTAACTGTTTAAATCGCTAATACAATAGTTTGCTTCAATTATTTCATGTTATTAATGTTATAGACACTTGTAGCGATAAAGAGGATATTTACTTTTTTCTGCTGGTCATCGACGTAAACAAAACACCAGGAATTTAATACGACAAATTAACTCGCCTGGGATTGGGTGTGGGATATTTTTTTTGGGGGGGGAGGATTAACTTGGCACTAAATGGACCAAAATAATATAGGAATTAAGGAGAAATTGCATACAGTCGTTTTAAGAGGGTTGGAACATATTGTAGAAGTTTCGTATAGAGAATGTTATAGTACTGTATTGGGTGCCCCTAGTCCACAAAAAAATGAGATCTATTTTATTCATGACACCAAATTATATCCTACCATAGTGACTGCCTGTTGGCGTCTATACTTTTGAAATTCCCAACCGTGATCCTGTAGACTAATAAGTATGTATGGTTGAAAGTTTATGGTCTCAAAATTTCCATATCACGACTAAGATTTTGAAAGGCTCTTAATATCATGTTCCCCCTGAGTGAGAGTTAACACACATTAATACAACCAGTGTACAATATTCTTCCCTGCCTAATCAACTGCTTTCACAAAAAAAATGAACTGTGTGTGTAAAGTAAATATATATAACTATAATTTTACTTATGTTTGTGTATAATATACCTGACAGTAATGAAGGTTTGTATGTTAACTGACAATTAGTGATGAACTGGGAGACTATGTACCTGTAAAAAAAAAAAAAAACGGAGTGGCATTGAGGTATAGTGATGGAAGAATCCCCGTCACTTTACCTTACAATCTGCATGACCGTTGTGTTCCTGGCAGCGAGCACCAAAGTAACACTCCAGTTCGGCACAGGAGCGGGGTGGGGGTGTGGTCTCACTGTGGTGCCGACATCCTTTGGGGCCCAGCACTAAGCCATCAGGGCATCCATTGCATTTCTTACCCCGGATCCCTGGTTTACACACACACTGCCCTGTCATCTGTTCGCAGTCATCACGCACAGAACCAAACAGAGAGCAGCCACATGCTGTGAATATGGTTACATGTAGGTAAAATATATTACAGATAGTTACAGGGTAATTAATGATTATGGCAGGTTACTAGAAGCTACCAGGTGGCTGCTTACAGGTAATAACGAACACAGGTAACCAGAGGTAAGAATTTACTGCCACCCAACGCACACACACACACACACACCAGCCACCTGTGGTCACCAACTGCCAGGATAGCTAATGGTGAAACAGGTGAGCACAAACATGTCTGGGTCATTACACCAGGTTATGAACTGTCATTACATTTAATGAAACACTGTAATGATAACTGCCCGAGTTGTAAATAATTTAGGTGCGAGTATCAAGGCTAATGGTTACCTCTTGCACTAACTGCATGATTTAATTAATACAGAACAGAATTACACATCAGTGACATCACATAATTATATCTCAAATATTATAAAAGTATGAATATTATTGTTAACCTGTGCATCTGATTATTCTAAACTATATACACTATATAATATATCCAGCATACAATGACCTTTCTTCACTGTTAACTTATTAAATATAACTGTTCACACTAATATCTATAAATAAGAACAATATCAAGTGCAGGTAAATACCAGATGGATCCACACTAATAATTATACTGTAATTTGTATTAAGCATTTAAAAATATATAAATCTAACTACACTAACTATTCTTACTCTGCTGTATAATTTACACAGGATAAGGAGTATGTGCAAACAAAGTTAGACTGTAGATCCTATCTCCTGATGTTTATCTTGGTGACGCCATGAGCTAACAGCAGGCACCTATAATACACCAATTATCACCTATAAAAGAAATCCCAAAATCACTTGCTGGAATACTCACGTAGACATCCCTTGCTGCCTCTCTGGATTCTAGGAAGACCCCAGAAGCCAGGCTCACAGCGGTCACACTTGGTGCCGCCCACCCCAGGCTTACACCGGCACTGGTTGGTTACAGGGTCGCATGTCTCTTCCCGGGCACCGAGCTATAGAGACCATTAGTCACAAATTATCACTTTAAATTCCACCATAACACCATACAATAAAGTTCATAACAAAGAAACACAGAACAGACCAAGTGTTAAGAGGCTAGTAAGCTGATTTGTTGATAAGTGGTGAATTGATATACAAAATTATCACATGATTTTCCTAATAGTCATCAAAACTCCTTCACTGACCTTGTGGCATTGGCAGATAGAAGGACAACCGGCATAGTTTGGTCCCAGGGCATCGGTCCTACGGTCAGGGCAGCAACCATAGGGGGCCTGTTGGCATGAGGGGCCTGCTTCCGTCTTATTCTCCTCTATAGAGACAAAAATCACAGATCAGTAGCTGCAGACACCCCAGACTCTCAGATCTATATGATATTTTTTATCAAGTTCAGGTAAAATTATCATAATGTGAATGATCTATGAATCAAGACACAAATTTATACAAACTAACTTCTAAGTCTATATTCCCCTCACTCTTAATTATACATCCATCAACACATATTTCCTATCACTTAGCTTTAATAATAGTTTTCACTTAAATCTTCATTGTAAACAGAATAAAGTGATCACGTGTAGATATTATGACCAGCGACTGACAGTGGAACATGAGGGGACGGTATGGTGGCCACTGTCTCACGGGATGAATAAATAGACAGTGGTCAGTAAATGTGTGTGTGTCTGTGTGTGTGTGTGTACCTTGATGTAGAGGGCAGCACTTGGCGAAGGAGAGAGTCCAATGGCAGTAGGAACCGGTGGGGCAGTTCTCTGTGTCAGGCCCCTTCCCGCAGTAGAAGTCTCGCCCAGTGGCAGGGTTCACCAAGGGCTCGTCCCCGTTGCAGGGCGTCAGCTCGAAGTCTGCAAGATGAGATGGGAAGTGTAGGTCAGGGGTCAAGGTAGGTTAGGTCAGGCGTCACGGTCTAGTTAGGTCAGGAGTCAAGGTATAGCTAGATCGGGGGTCACTGTATAGCTAGGTCAGGTGTCAGGGTATAGCTAGGTCAGGAGTCAGGGTATAGCTAGGTCAGGAGTCAGGGTATAGCTAGTCAGGTATCAGGGTATAGCTAGGTCAGGAGTCAGGGTATAGCTAGGTCAGGAGTCAGGGTATAGCTAGGTCAGGAGTCAGGGTATAGCTGGGTCAGGGGTCACAGTATAGCTAGTTCAGGGGTCACAGTATAGCTAGTTCAGGGGTCACAGTATAGCTAGATCAGGGGTCAGGGTATAGCCAGGTCAGGAGTCACAGCATAGGTCGGGGGTCACAGCATAGGTCAGAGGTCATCACAGTCTAGGTCAAATAACATAACGTAAGCTACTGTAAACCATTGATATTTAAAGGCGAAGGAATCGTATGTTTAACGAAGCAAGGACGAATAGCAGGAGCAGCAACAGCACTCATCAGAGAAGACAGAACAACACAGAGAGAGAGAGAACAAATAATGTAATAAAGAAGGAAATGGGAGACAAATGAGATAGGTACAAGGAAGAATGCTAAGACAGGTTATGATAGAAGGTGGGTGTGAGAGAGGTAGATAGATTGATAGATAATGAAACCTGAAAAAAAAAAGTCATGATGAAAGATGTGGATGAGGAGCAGACGAGGATAAAGTAAGGAGATAAGGATATAGAACAGAGGATAGACAGGACAGGCAAACAGACAGACATGAGCGTTAGTACAGACTATAGGAAGGATCACCACACACACACACACAGACACACAGCTTACAAACACACTACAGTAAACAAACTACAGTACACATTGACAAAGGAAAGACTATATATCATTTTTTTCCTTCTATATTAATGTTATAATGTTATGCTTGCACTATAAAGGTATCATTAACACAAACGTCCAAGAATGTCTAGTGTGTGTGTGTGTGTCCCTCCATTCCGTAATTACATTCACATGCAATTTATACGACGAACATACGGACATTCTCAAGCTATTTGCCAGCAGTGACACTCTTCATTTATGTGGGATGGGAGGGAGTGGGTGTTTCAGGACTGCCCTCAAACATCGAATACGTCCTCTCAACCATCGTCAGAAGCCCTCCTTCCTGGCCTCGAGTTATCCTGTTAGCACTTTTGGCCAGTAAGCAACACAGGGAAACTCCGACTGAGCTTGACATGACCTAGTTTGGAACATTGTTTAACAGGTTACTATAATTCTGGCCATCCCAACTCTCCCATCATCAGACGACAACTTGTGCGCCACACACACTACTGATTCACACTACACACAGCTCCTCCATGGAACAGTCTAGTTCCTCACTGCGACGTCCTTAAAACTAGGCTTAGGTCATTCCTGTGATCTCTGATGCTTCTGTTGCGACAGTTATGGCTTTCAACTTGTATACTGTATGTGGACTAAAACACACACACACACACACACACACACACACACACACACACACACACACACACACACTTTCCAGAAGAGGTACCCAGAATCCAGCGTGTCGCTTTCATTATGTTGCCTCTGTCCCTCTCTACCTGGGGGTTGGATTCTCACCTACACTTCCGTTAATTTGTCCCCTACACGGTTCACTCGAGGGTCCGTTAGATGTGAACCCCTCTCCCTCCAGCTAACAGATTATATGGAGAGAGAAGTCCGTTATATGGAGAGAGAAGTCCGTTATATGAAGTGAGAAATCCGTTATATGGAGGCTTCACTTTATATCGTACGGATAACCCGCAGCACCAACAGGGCAGATGTTACCGACCATCCCAAACACCACAGGGCAATAATTCCTGACGCAGTAACACCTTCGTCACACAAGACACACACACACACACACACACACACACACACGATTCGAGGTATGTTGTCACTAACGGGAACAACATGACACTGGTCACTGAAGCTAATGAAATTCACAGACACCTTCAGGAGGGTTTGTTTCTTTACACTGTGATCGCTGCTCTAACTAGTTAACCGATTATCAAAACACTGGAGTAAATTTTCAGTTCACACATAATAGTCCCTCTGGTTTTCATTATCCTTTGATAAGAAAAAAAATGTGGTTGGAAATATCTTGGGTACGAAGTTGGTCAAATAGGAAGTTTATGTAAATACAATATTTTTAGCCCTCACGGTTAAAGGCGTCGACTTATTACACGGAACTTCTGTCAGTCTTCACGATTGAACAATGAAAAATAAAATAAAATTGTAAACTCATTAATATAAAATCAGTCAAACCATTTCTTATATCACGCAAATGAACCAACCCAATCAAACCTAAACTAACCTCCAAAAAATTTTACCATAAGTCATTAGGTTAAGTTTACAATGGCTCGTTTGGTCTACTGTCAGAATTGATTTAGTCACACGTAGCTTACGATTTGATTGTAAATACTCAAGGCCATACATACCTCATGAATGACATTATACCTTCTAAAGTCCACACTCATTGTTTCCCTTCCTATCCACACTAGGTTTACATAATACAAGTTAAAACGAACAAAAAATAAACAAAATCTAAATATTCTATCCCCAAAACATCCAAGTACTAAGGTTGGCAGCCCTATTCTACACGCACGTTTACCAAACCCCCATCGTTTATCCGCCTCTCCTAATTTACATAATTAAATGCCAGCTAAATACTTTATCTTCGTTACTGTCATATTCCACCCACCTAATCCGTATTTCACCTGTTTCACCTTTAATTCTCAGGCTATATGAGCAACCCTGTGATTTTCTTTACCTATATTTACCAACAAAGTAAATATAGAGGCCACTTTCTTCGCCAAACACACAGTGAGAAAATTTTACCCAGAATGGCTACTCCAAAACGCCATGAACTAAATAATGACGATGCTACACTACATCCGAGAGTTTCGCTTCTTATAACACCTTAAAGGAATCGAGAGTTAATCGACCAATGGAATGAATACAAAACACGTACTCTTAAATTATCATACAATATCTGATTAACATTCATATTATAAATGCCATGCCTCAGAACAGTCGAATTATCCATGCATCAGGTTGAATAAGATTGAGATTATAACAACAACAATGATTTTAAATGCATAACAACGATAACAACGATAACAACATAAAAAAGAATACTGTTATTGATGAACATTTATGAACATTGATCCTGACTTTCACAGACTCCATATGCACCACGTGAGAAGAACTGGTGAACAAAATACAGAACATGTGTTTCTTAAGGTAGACACACCGAAGAACACGAGAACAAAGAGGAAAATGATGAACACTAGAAATGAACAAGAAGAAGAAAACAGGTAAGACAGATAACACTTATCTCAGATCGTAAGCAGAACATAGAACACGCGAGTCAAGAACAATCAACCAACAAGAACACAGAACAAGTACCACAGGAAGACAGAACACGATAAAGAATATGGTATAACAACAAACAAGAACACTGAACACGTATACCTCAAGAGCCAGACAGAACACTGAACATGATAACGTGTAGAACAAAATGTCAACAATACCAGACACTACATGGGGAGTGAACACAATGAGAGAGAGAGAGAGAGAGAGAGAGAGACTGGCAGAGCTCACGATAGTCGAATCGTTTATGGTATAATTGGATCATTAAGTGATGTCAACTGCAGGTAGGGTAGTTTTGGAAATAACCACAGCATTATCACTAAGACAGGAAGATAGCAGGGAACAGTGAATCACAGAATAACGATTAAAACAAATTATTTTCAAAGTATGAAAAATCCTCGAATATTTCTCAACGCTTCTAAGTCTGTTTGGCTTCTCGCGTGTTTTTTCCCTTATTATAGACATAAAGATCGGGAAGAATTATCTAGCCGAGACTATAGGCTTCTCAATGCGCATCTCCTATGGCCATCAATACATGCGTTTGTCTATACTACAACATGCACGCACAAACACGTTATAACATGCACGAGGAACATGTTTCGACACCAAGGACACATTATTGTTAACATTTTAATAAACGCAATATACGTTACAGCATCCATCGATGACAGTTCGTAAAATCCCCCGAAGAGGTCGCCTTAACATGCATGAGGTACACAGAGCAAATGGCCACTTACACGAAGGCCACGCCACAACGCACACGGAGGCGTCAACACACACACACACACACACAAGACACGTCACATGTACGCCGCAGGACACAAGGCAAAACATGCACGAGGTGGTAGGGATTAGCCATGCGGGTTACTGTAGTGGAGAGGTAGGTGTGTGGTGGTAGTGGTCGTGTGGTGGTGGTGGTGGTGGTGTGGTATCCGGGGACATGCGGGGTTGGGGGAGGCAGCTGGTACCTTCACACAGCTCAAGGGGCCTCAGTCTCAGCTCCACCTGCCGCTGACACCCCTCCCTGATCATGAGACACTCGCTGGAGTACATCTTGAGGTCGGAGGCACACACGGGGCTCTGGGGCACGTTGGAGCAGTCCAGCCGGCACGAGCAGCGGGGCAGGCCGTCCCCCAGCACTGTGCACGTCGAGCCGTACTCGCACGTCATCCCCGTGCACACATCCCCCTCGATGCCGTGGTGGCCAACAGGGTGGGCGCGGCCAGGGGGACCAACGACCACCGGAGGAGGGGACGAGTCGCGGGGACTAACCAGGCTTGGGTCATCCTCTGCGTCAGCGCCACCCCCACGAGTATGTACGTTAGTCACAGCCACCACCGGTTAGTACACACACACACATGTACACTTACATGACACACACACATAAACATGTTAAAACATCTAGTACATCGTGGGAACTGTGCAGGTGTGATTGTGTAAGTGTGAGGCCACGTAGTGACGGCAGCGACCAACAGGTGGCAGCAGCAGCAGCGGCGGCAGCAGTAGCTTCAGCAGCAGCAGCGCCACACAAGCAAGGGCAGCCGGGGCCACAACTACAGTGTGTGAGGTGCCACATACTTTTTTTACTCTGTCTTAGTGCTACGCCATCTACCTGGACTAATGCTCCAATGACAGTTCATGTCTGCACAGTTTACACATACTTAGCTCATGTTAGATTACATTCAGGTGTGACTTAACAAACATATAGCTTCAGCTTACATACAGCTTTACATAAAATTTAATCTCTTTGCAATATGGTTCAAGAGGATTTAGAAGGTAAGGTTTAACCTGGGGGATGTGGGGAGGGGTGGAGCTCTCGGGCAAAACACTGGAACACAGTTAAAACATTGCAGGATCTTCAGCCACGTACAAATACATGGGGTGGGGGGGGGGGGTAAAAACTTCAGGAGACAAGATATAATTAACAATATGGATAGACCATTACCTCACATTACGAGGATAAAACCTCTTCATTAATTCTATCCCTGTTCTTTAACGTCCCCAGACCACCACTATGAGCTCTTCCCTTCACCTAACACTCTTCCTGTTCTCCCACAACCCTGTTTTATGTGTTCCTCCACCTCTCTAGTTTTAAGCGGAGTTATGCCTCTATCTCTCTAAACCTGTCACCACACATCGTCTATTCTTATCAAAATATCTCCCTTATCCTATATCCACTAGTCTCCTCTTCTCACTTGCACAATTAAATATTCCCCACTGACGCGACACCACTGCCAGTATTCCTTGATCGAACCCTTCAAGACATCGATAAACCCAATACCTTCCTACAGCCCTACATTCTCTCCTCCTGTTTCCTGCCCCTTGCTCACCCCTATACTTGCCCTTGTACCGTTCCTCCTTGGGGCTCCTATCTCCCCCACTGCCCCCATCTCCTCTCACCTAGGAACACAACTGCCCACATAGTCCCTTCCATCCCCTACCCTCTTGCTCCCTTCCCCAACCTTTCTCCTACCATACCACCTCTGCTCCCTAATACCTAATACCCCCTCCCCTTCTCTCTCCCTTACCACCCCAGCACGAGAGATGCATAGCTTCCTAACACTCCCAGATATAGGTGACTCACGGACTTCTATCTATCCCCTAACCCCTCCTCCCCCCCTCCTCTCCCTTCTACCTGTTCTCCTCACCTCACCACCACCCAGATATTATATACTGTATACTCACTGACGCCAGAAGGTCGCGCCTCTGAACAGTCCCCGACAAAGTTGACTCGTAAACCATCCTCCACCCCACACGCTGCTTTCTGCATCTCGCACTCGTTGACGAAGGTGAGGCCGTTGGATGCACACACTGGCTCACGGGTCGCAGGGCACTGCATGGGACACACACACCGCCCTGCCTCACACCTCGCTCCGTATTTACACACTACGTGCTGGCATAGATCTGAGGGAGAGATATACCATGTGTTAGAATATTTTTCCTCAATTTCCTATTGTGTAAGTACTTCACTTCTTCATGGAGATCTGTTGATGAAAAAGACTGAGATTGAATGCAAGTAACAGACACGAAGAGTATAATAATCACAACACCTTAACAGATATTGTAAATTACAGGTATTTCATATTAATTACCTGTTAATTAGCCAAACGTAAGTCAAATTTACACATAACTACAATTAACGGTTATTATCTTGAAAAGGTAAAAACAAAAATATTGAAAGGTGTAAATATATGAAACTGTACATAGTATATATTGATATCTACACACACACCAGTAAGAACAAAGCATTAGATGTTTTCATTTTGTATAGTTACAGAGGTAGTATTGGTGTTAAGTGTCATCAGGTAGTAGTATCGGTGTTTAGTGTCAGCAGATAGTAATATCGGTGTCAGAAGGTGTCAGCTAGTAGTATAACTCACCACAGTCACCCCTGGAAGCCACGATAACAAACTGCTGCTTCCTACAGGCAGCCACTTTCAGGAGGCACTCGTTGAGGTAAGTCACACCATCCGTCCCACACACTTTGCTGTCAACCTGCATACACACATAAACACTAATTAATACATCATTAAATACATATATGACTATTCAATACACATTTTACAGCTATTATACAATTTAATATATAAAGCTTAAGTAATTAAAATTCTCCAAATTCAAGAAGTATTAATAAAACGTCTTTACTTAAGTATACGCTAAAGAAAACCATCATAGAAAACGGAGACTAAAGAATGGGAGTCGTAGGGTAAACTCAATTATAACTTGAGAATCACTTACCTTGACGCATCCTTCGGGGCATACACATCGCCCTACACCCGCCTCGTCTGCCTCGCACACACCGTAGAATTCACATTGTTTGTTCTCGCAACCAGCTGTCGAGATACGGGGAAGAGGATGAGTGTGGGGAAGTGAAAGCGAGAGAGAAGAATGAATGTAAGAGGATAGAGATGAAGAGAGGATAAATGTAATGTGTAGGAGAGGAAAATGGAGAAGGATGAGTGGGGGACAGAAGATGTGAGAGGGATAGAAGACGGGTGGTGATGAGAGAGGGAGTGAGAGGATGTGTGTGAAAGAAGATTGGTTGTCTGTAGAGAGGAGGAGGAGGAGGAGGGGGAAGTGAGGAGAGGAATGAGTGAGGATGACGGGAATGAGAGGAGGAATGAATGAGTATCAAAGAGGGAAGAAAACTGGGAAGAGGGGGTTAGATACATGAGTGGGAGAGAGGGACAGAGGTGAGAGGGGAAAGAGGGTAATAATAAGGACGGAATAAATGAGGGATGAGAAGGACAGGAGACATAGCTTGGGCAGTGTTGAGATAGAGATTGTTGACTTAGTGAGATAGTGAGGCCACGTAAATTAACCAAAACAAAAACGCAAAATAAAAAAATACCAAATACTACAGAAACAAAAGACAAAAAAAAGGGAATAAAAAGAAACAAGGAATCAAAAGGAATGAAAAAAAAAAACTAAAATGATAATTACAGAAATGAATACAGAGGCACAGAGACATAGTAAGCATAACAAAAACAAACAAATAATTTTTTCTTAAGTTAAATCAGAAAAAAATAATTTATTCATGCACTAAGTCAATCCAAGAACGTAAATATACACAACAACTAAGATCAGTGTAACAAAAAAAAAGTCCTAACACCTATGAGAAAATTCACAATAATAATAATAATAATAATAATAATAATAATAATAATAATAATAATAATAATAATAATTTTTAAGGTACTCTACATTAAACATGCTGAATAAAAGTCTAATATCTACAAATATGCAAAATAAAAGTCTAATATGTACAAAAAATTTCAGGAGTCTAATTTAAAAACAAAATCTAAATCTAAGTTTGAGACAAATTTTTATCCGGAATAACTCTCGTTTCTCTCTATCTAGCCTCCTTCCCTCTCTCTCTCTCTCTCTCTCTTGTCTATTTTCTCAATCGTCTCTTTCTCTCTCTTTCCTTTTCTCTCTCTGTCTCGTCTCCCTCCCTCTCTCTGTCTCTATCATCTCTTTCTCTCATCTCTCCTGGAAAAAAAAAAACCCGCCACACGAGTAAAGGATAAATTCCACCCTGGCAAAATACAGTCTTCCAAAACACCAACTTTACCTTGAACTCGCTGAAACAAAATCAAGGAATATCAAACTACAAACTTTTGACTCGATACAGAAAATAAAACTTTTATTAACATCTCTTGGCAACTGCGCCGCCGGGATGTTTTTAGTCTGTTAAATGCTTGAAGAAAAAGCCTTTAGTGGAAAATGTCCTGATTTCGGTGTTCCAATATTTTCTTCTATCTTTTTTTTTCGATTTTAAGAGTATTTTAAGGTTCGAATTATGGCACCTGACCTCTGTAACACCTGTATATACCTGTGTAACACCTGTATATACCGTACCTGTATATACCTGTGTAACACCTGTATATACCTCTGTAACACCTGTATATACCTGTGTAACACCTGTATATACCTGTGTAGCATCTGTATATACCTGTGTAACACCTGTATATACCTGTGTAACACCTGTATATACCTCTGTAACACCTGTATATACCTGTGTAACACCTGTATATACCTGTGTAACACCTGTATATACCTGTGTAACACCTGTATATACCTGTGTAACACCTGTATATATCTGTAACACCTGTATATACCTGTGTAACACCTGTATATATCTGTAACACCTGTATATACCTGTGTAACACCTGTATATACCTGTGCAACACCTGTATATACCTGTGCAACACCTGTATATACCTTTAACACACACATGCGATATATAAAAGATTCCTCTAACTTGTTAAATAAAATAAAGTTCTCATGCCATGCAGCAGCGAGATACAGATGGGTGCGTGAAGTGGGTGCGTGTGGGCGTGAAGTGGGTGCGTGTGGGAGTGAAGTGGGTGCGTGTAGGCGTGAAGTGAGTGCGTGTGGGAGTGAAGTGGGTGCGTGTAGGCGTGAAGTGGGTGCGTGTGGGGTGAAGTGGGTGCCTGTGGGCGTGAAGTGGGTGCGTGTGGGCGTGTGGGTACGGTGGGCGTGAAGTGGGTGCGTGTGGGAGTGGAGTGGGTGCGTGAAGTGGGTGCGTGTAGGCGTGAAGTGGGTACGTGTGGGCGTGAAGTGGGTGCCTGTGGGCGTGAAGTGGGTGCGTGTGGGCGTGAAGTGGGTGCCTGTGGGCGTGAAGTGGGTGCGTGAAGTGGATGGATCAAAGGAGAGCCATGAGGTAAATAACTGGGGGTATACTGAGTGGTGAGTGGGATGCTGGGGTTAGGAGTGGGGTGCTTGAGTGGTGAATGATAAGTACTGGAGTGGGCTGCCAGAATGGGTTAATGAGAGTGCCAGAATGGGTTATAAATAAGTGCCAGAATAATAAGTGTCAAAGGCGTTGATTCCAGGTGAGTGGGCCGCTGGAACACTCAGGTATAAGAGTGCCGAGTGGGATGAGAAGGGGGGTGAGAGGTGAGGTGAAACAGGTAAGGGCTTTAATTAATTTACCTGAAGGTTCGACGTTTTCCCTCACGTCAACTGTAAAATCAATCAATTAAGAAAAGTAAAAAAAAAATAAAAATTATATTAGATAAAAAAACAATCCAAAAAATAATATCATTACCATTCCACTAATTAGATGCCCTAATTACATGACCCAATTAGCGACAAAACACTCACCCCAATTAACGTTACCAAGAAGAGCAATTGCAATTATAAAACAGCAAATATATATATTTTTTTGGCTTATCTTCCATTGTTTTCAAATAACCACGATTGCTTGTGACGTTAACTGTGTCTTTGTTGATGGAATCAGTCGTGGAATTCAAAGCTTGTTGGAGAATTCAATGTCTATCATGGAATTTAATTACTTATTGCATTATCACTCATTGATGAATTAAATACTTTATGTAGAATTCAATACCAAAAGTAGAATTCAATACCAAGCGTAGAATTCAATGCCAAGTGTAGAATTCAATAGCAATCATTTATTCAGTTACCACAGGAGAATTTAATGCTTACAGTATTATTCATCACCTATTGTAGAATTCAAGAGTAAATGTGAAATTCAATACCTGTAAGATTATTTACTGTACAATTCAACAGCTAATGTAGAATTCAGTGTATAGTCCGGCATATCGTAAAATTTAATATCCATAATAAATTTAAATTGTATTCTATAATTCAAGATAATAATATTATAGGATTCGATACCTATCACAAATTCAATACCTAGTGTTATTTACTGTAGAATTCAACAACTATCACAAACCTCAATATCTATTATAGAATCCAACAGGTATAATTAATCTATTATGAAATCCAACACAGAACCAAATATAGAATTCAACAAGTATAATATAATTCAATGCCTACATCAGAATTCAACAGCTATCGTAAACAAAAAATCCAGCTATTGTAGAACTTAACATTACACCAAACAGCAATAACTCCCAAAGAACGCATTTACCTCAATACCTGGAGCTCATTAACCTAAGTATAACGTTAGAGTGCTGTGACCCGAGATTGACCTATGACCTACACCCTCACCTCTGACCTTTCGTGTGTGGTCAGCTTGGCGGGTGGGGGGGGGAACCTTGTAACGTGAGGTAATGCACTTGACGGGAATGTCACCCCACCTGGGAACTAAACACCGCAAAACCAGGTGAATTATATACCTGTGTGTGTGTGTGTGTGTGTATGTGTGTGTGTGTGTGTGTGTGTGTGTATGTGTGTGTGTGTGTGTGTGTGTGTATGTGTGTGATATAAAGAGAAGAGTTAAGAGAAAAGAGGAGAGAAGAGAAGAGAAAATGTATAATAATAAGATTGGAGAGAGTAACAGGATGATAAAAGGTCAACAAGGCAAACAAAATAGGTGTAAACAACAACAGGATGAGCCATAAATAAACAGTATCATCTGTTTACTACAAAGTTAGAGTAATGAAGACTGTTTGGGATGACAACGGCCCGCGGTAGTTATTGTTACCAGGAAAGACAAATCCCATCCGTGTTACCTGACAGTTCATTATCCTAAAGCGACACTACACCTGTATATGCACTCACTATGGTAATGCACTCAACACCTTCTATGTTAACCTGCTACAGTAAACACCTCTCTCTCTCTCCTACAGCAGCGCCTTCTATGGGTACTCACAACAACGTCCTCTGTATCTGACGGGTATGTCGTGGCGTATTCTGCACGCCTCAGCCCTCAGATGACACTCGTTGTCGTAGGATATGCCATCAGAGCCACACACAGGGTCAAGGTGGGCGGGACACTGTGGGCACTCACACACGGGTCGTCCCTGCCGTTCCACACACACGCCCCCGTGCCCACATACATGGCCTGCACAGGGGCCTTCCTCTCCTGTAGAAGGCAGGGATAAGCAATGTCATGGTAGGTCTCGAACACAAATATTAACCAGAATTTTTTTTTTTATTATTTATTATAACTGACACATTTTGTTTTTATTACAAGACCAAAAGTATTGAGGAATTGTGACGAAAAAGAATTCAATATACCACCGTAAATTATTTTCTATAGTAAGGCGTTCCAATATTTTACAAAAGGACAAAGGAACATCACTTGTCATCACTATACAGTACACCCCAGTGATACGTTGAACACACACACACACACACACACATTATTACCGTAAAAGAGACTTAAAACTATATTCATTAACCAGATTACCATTTATCATAAACAGTACGATGAATTAAACAAGCGTCCGTCACTATACCAGACACCACAAATACTCACCGCACACCCCGATGTAGCTGACCACAATATCAACCTGCTTGACACACACAGTTCGCTGCAGTTCACACAAGTTGTCGTATGTCTGTCTGTCTGAGCCGCAAATAGGGCGGACGACAGGCTCACACGCCGGGGGACACTCACAGCGCGCGATCCCAAACGTGTCGATTTTGCATTCCTCACCGGGCAGGCAGGACAGCCCATCACAAGGGTTCAGTCCTGACACACGTGGAAGAGAAATACACCTGAATTTATCTCATGTTACGCCTTTGTTTTACCTCACGTAAGACAATGTAACAAATGTATCTCACACAAGGTAAATTATTGTACTAAAAACTTAAGACATATTTGGAGTGTTTTTTTTTTCTTATTATTTTTTAACGCAATCAACGCACTTCACGCAACCCAAGTAACTCATCTCAAACAACACACCTCAAGCAACACATTCAACGCACTCACGCAACATATAAAACACACCTTATAAACTATTGGATATCCCATAGGAAAGAAAAATAATGAAAACCAAACAAAAACAGGCATAGTTACAGATAATGAAAGAAAATATACAAAAATAAGGTCGGCGAAGGTCATGGAAGTCGTACCATACACGTACTAAACCCAATAGGCCGACCACTGATAAACTAGTACATAAATGTCATACAGATATATAAGTGAGAAGTTTCCAAATGTTCGTATATTTGTTTAAACAATGAAGAAAATTTGATGAGAAAATCTTGTGGCAGCTGTGGCTGTAGTTGAGTTGCCAATTCATTAATATAATTTTCTTCATTATTTAAGTAAATATACGAGCATTTGGAAACTTCTCATGGCCTTAAATAACAAAGAATAGTTTATTATTATAGAAATATTACCTTTTGTTTGTTTATAATTATTCTGACAGTGATACAGCCGAGAACAGATCCACCAATCACCTTTACATACAGTCTTCCTTTACCAAGTATTGCCAGGTAAAATAGCGAGCACGAGACTCAGGGTGGGGTCTGTGTATCTTTGGCTGACTGTACTATCGTGGACAAAAATTCGCTCCTTCCCAAACTGAAGCAGTATCGACCCGCACAGCACACCCGCACCAGATAACAATCAGGGTAAGTCAGTTCGGAGACTCATTCCCGTGTCTCAGATTCACTACAGGGAGCAAACTTTTGTCCACGATAGTACATGTTGTCAGATGCTGTTGTGTACATTATGGTGTATGTACAGTCCCCTTTATTAGTGGCAGCTCTGTGTTTGTTTACATTTGACAGAAGGAAACTCGCAATAGTAAACATACTATGGAATCAAATATGAACAATATCAAAACAAAACTCAGTGTAATGATTTGTGGAATGTTTATATGACGAGCCCCTGTAAACGCACTAGTGAAGGGGACTGTATATATAACCTGACGAGCCCCTGTACTAGTACTGTACACCTGACGAGCCCCTGTAAACGCACTAGTGAAGGGGACTGTACATATAACCTGACGAGCCCCTGTAAACACACTAGTGAAGAGGACTGTACATATAACCTGACGAGCCCCTGTAAACGCACTAGTGAAGGGGACTGTACATATAACCTGACGAGCCCCTGTAAACACACTAGTGAAGAGGACTGTACATATAACCTGACGAGCCCCTGTAAACGAACTAGTGAAGGGGACTGTACATATAACCTGACGAGCCCCTGTAAACGCACTAGTGAAGTGGACTGTACATATAACCTGACGAGCCTGTAAACGCACTAGTGAAGGGACTGTATATAACCTGGCAGGCCTGTAAACGCACTAGTGAAGGGACTGTAAAGCCCCTGTAAACACTAGTGAAGGGGACTGTACATATAACCTGACGAGCCCCTGTAAACGCACTAGTGAAGGGGACTGTACATATAACCTGACGAGCCCCTGTAAACGCACTAGTGAAGGGGACTGTACATATAACCTGACGAGCCCCTGTAAACCCATAAGTGTACATGTGGTCAGGTGCTGCTGTTGTGTACATTTAAGTGTGTACATCTGGGTAATAACTATACTACTTTATAAACAGTATGACTCGAATGTGATAAAAAACCTTAGTGTTCATACTTATTATCTGTAATCGCAGTAAATCTCTACAGGAACTTTTTTTTTTTAGCATTATGGGGTCAGTGATCGGAGTCATTATTATAAAAAAAATAATAATGCGCCTACTTCAAGTGTGACCTAGTTTAAAAATCCGTATATTCACGAGAACTACAAAAGGAATTAAAACTTTTGACAAACATTAATGACCCCCCAAGTGGAGTTCCTCTCTTGAAAAAAAAAAAATTCTTTACAGTCGAACGCAGCATATCGAGAGGCTTCTATTTTCTAATGGGAAAATTTGTAACTATTTTTTTCTTTTACTTCTGACTAATCATTTTGCCTCGTAAGTTAGAAGCAAATTATTTCCTCTGGTTGTTGAAGGTTAGCGTCTTCAAGTGTTAAGTCATCGTACTCAAGGGGGTTAAGTTATCATATTCAAGGGGGTTAAGTCATCGTATTCAAGGGGTTGACTGGGAGAGAGCGATAGGATGTTAAGGATAGGGCCAGGAGGGGACTGGCAGAAGGCGAGTGTGCTAGGATAGGGCTAGGAGGGGAGGAATGGAAGGTGGTGAGAGGGTATTAGGATGGATGGGACTAGGGGGGAGTGAGGGAGAGCGAGAGGGTGCTAGGATAGTGGCTAGGAGGAGACTAGGCGAGAGCGAGAGGGTGCCAGAATAGGGCTAGGAGGGGACTGGAAGGCGAGAGGGTGCCAGGAAGGGACTAGAATGGGGTCAGTAGTGGGTTCAGAGGGGGCTGGGGGCTGGCTGGGAGGGTGTAACACTGCAGCTGAGTCACCCACCACACAGATCCACATAAATTCTGGCCTTAAGCTTCACCAATAACTCAAATCTATTTACCCCTCAAGCGCGTTCAACACCTTTATACTACCAAACCTAACCTAACCTAACCTAACCATTATGAAATTTTGTTCCTTGGCAATATTTGTTTCTTATAGGCTGTGTCAAAATGGAAATAAATTTGCCTCCGTATTGCAGTGAGAACAGTCATACAAAGTGCTGTTGATGCTTGTTGTTGCAGTTATGTCTGAGTTAATCTAAGACGGTTACAGTGAGTGGATATGATAGGTCCTGCCAGTGAGTGAATGAGTCAGTCAGACAAACTCACATACAGGGATGATGGATTAGTTGTTATTCTTTAGACACCCTGTAATCCTAACCTACACCAACCAGTTAGAATTCTTTCAACACAATTTTCGTCGCCTTGTTTCAGCTACAGCTTTAGTGAGTCACCAGCTCTCTCTCTCATCTCCAGCTATAAAGGGAACATTCAACGCCCGAACCTTTGAGACTAAGACAACAGTTTTCAGTGAAGTATCTCAAGCGACAATACACTGTACTTTTAACACGGTCTAGTAACTGTGTTGGTAGTGTAAACATCACCCAGTTGTTTGAGCCTTTTGTGTGTGTGTGTGTGTGTGTGTGTGTGAATATCTGTAAGTATAAGATGTAAAAATAAACCTATAGATTTTAATGGTGGGGAGGTAAATGGAACAGCCTTTACTCCTGAATGATGGTTACCCAGATAAGAAATGTAAACAAACTCCTTGCTGATTGGACAGTTAACATGTATACCTCTGTTATATGAGTAGAGGACATTACTGCACACATAGATAAGAACAGTTAACCATTAGATGTGCAGTTTCTGGTAACATGAAGAACCACTCCTACTTACCAGCGTCACAGGCACCTCTATAGACGATGGCCAGAGATTTCCTCGCCTTGCACGCCTCCACCTTCTTCACGCACTCGTTCCTGTAACACAAACATAAGCACACACGTCACAACTCATCCAAATATCATAAAAAAACACATAATGAACAAGTTGAAATATGTTATGTTAATTGAAAATATAGAAATTATTAATTCACAGTACATACATTCATACATACGAGGTACATACATACATACATACATACATACATACATACATACATACATACATACATACATATATACATACATACATATATACATACACTACACAGATCAAAATCACGTGACATAGAACACATCACAACACAACATCACTATACAACCCTTCTTTAGCAACACAACCTAACATAAAACCCCACCACAACACAACTCTATCTAACACCACAACACCAATAACCGTATCCAGCACCACAACCTAACATAAACTAACATCACAGCATGCCATTTCATCTCTCAGTATTCATCTCGAGTCTCCCAGCGTCACGCACCACACTACCACCCTACCAAAGGTCTCGTGTGCCACTGGGTCTCGTGTGCCACTAGGTCTCGTCTTCCACACCACCACCACCACCACACTCCTCAACCGTAAAGTTATCAATCTGGAGCCATTGTTCCCTGTCCGTCTCTCTCTTGTGTCTTGAAATTATAATTATTATTGCCTTCAGCACTAACTTTAAAATTCTCACCTTTTGCTGGGACAACTCTGTGATTCCCCGGATTTGCCTGTCACCCGAAGAGGCTGCTAGGCTTTGTAGATCTCTAATTAGAAACTTAACACCCGTCTGGATATGATTAATTATTTTTTTCAAACGCATATGAATTCAGTTTCGCTTCTCTCCTAACTTAAGATATAATACACAGTAATTTCTTAATATATCCGTGTCATAACTAACACTGTAGGCATATTAGACGATTGCTAGGAAAGAAAGAATCCTTAAAACACTTCTTCCATTATGTTTCCAATATTTCTCTAGTTAATATAATGGTAGATATATTTTTCACCCCACGTTAATATTTTCAAAGTATTTCTTCATCATTAACTTCTACAACTACAAAAATAATTTAAGTTCTGTAGTGTCTTAGATATTGACCAAGCTGTCATTCCTATGTAGCTGAAACACTCAAACCTTGTCCCACTTTACAAAGAATGATTCATTTATATTCTTCCTCCATTATGCTCATCAATAACAACATAGTATATTTTGTAATCTGTAATCTTATATCAAAAGTTATACAGGGAAAATAATTATACCAGGTTATTTATTATATATTTATCTGATTATTATTCTTACTTCACCTATAATTACGTTCAGGAGTTGGTCTGATACTCTTCTCGACACCATCAGATCAATTCACCTACTTCACAATCTACTCCTGGCCTCAGCTCACTATAATGTGTTCACTATACTTCCATCCCTGAGAGTTCAAAATTTTCCTTGGTGATTTTTTTTAAACGATTACATTATTACAACTGATCTTCTACCCTCTTTAGTACATTGTTTCTGATAGTTTAATTTGGTATTATCTTTCAATTATCTCTTTTTTTGCTTCTCTTAAAATACCTGACTATTTCCTCTTCTCTTTGTGTTTTTATTGTTTCTCTTCATTAATTTATTCTAACTTCTTCATTCATCCTTCGTTTCTCTCTATTGCTGCTTCTGTGTTTAACCATTCTACACAACACCATACAGCACCACACAACATTATACACCACTACACAACACCATACAACACTACACAACACCACACACCATTACACAACGCCATACATCACTACACAACACCACACAACATTACACAACAACCATACATCACTACACAACACCACACAACATTACACAACACCATACAACACTAAACAACACCACACATCACTACACAACACCACACACCATTACACAACACCATACAACACTAAACAGCACCACACATCACTACACAACACCACAGACCACTACACAACTCACACCATTCCACAACAAAATCTGTCAATCACAAAGAATCGAACCCTGGTACTCACGTGTAAGTCTTGCCATCGGAGGCACAGATGGGGTTGAATTCCTTGGCGCAGACGTCATTGCAACGGCAGGTGGGTTTTCTCTCTCGATCCAGCTGGCAAGTCTGTTTCTCTGGACATTTCACGTCATCACACGGGTCTGTAAGATAGTATAGCAACGCGTCAGCTGTGCGTGTTAGGAGGAATCATATGGCAATGTGTCAGCTGTGCGTTTTAGGAGGAATCATATGGCAATGTGTCAGCTGTGCGTTTTAGGAGGAATCATATGGCAATGTGTCAGCTGTGCGTGTTAGGAGGAATATGGCAACATACTGTGTGTGTTATATAGCAATTACAGTATGTGTGAAGATATTAAGATGTTATCACCACCTGAACTACAAGGATAACTAAATTCACAGCTGTAGGGGAACTGATGATGCCTTGAACACGAACCAGTGGCGCTTAGCAGAGGCGAGAGCTGTAACAACATCCCCCCCTCCAAAAAAAAAAAGTATCTTAACCATTTTATGTCGCCTCCGTAAAGATACTATTTGGAGGCACTAGTTTGCACCTTAGGGCCTGAATCAATACGTGTAAACCAATTACCTGGTACTGGCCAACATTGGATATCAATCACAAATTACCGATTCAATAGGATTTGAACCAGAGACCAAAGAATTACCAACCCAGTATGATAACGACCCTACCACCGCACCCTATTTACAGGTTTTGGGTTTGACAATTGAGTTCAGGTATATCTATCAAATTCAGGTATGCATGTTTAATATTAATATGCTCATTTAATACAGGTATGTCTTTATAGTTTGGGTATATATCAATCTAGTGCAGGTGTGACTGTTTAATTAAAATATACCAATTGATCTAGATACACCTGTATGTACGAGTAGCTCAGGTATCCCAACATACTCCTACCACGTTATATCCAGATTACACAATAGACATTAATATCAAGTGACAGACATGTTAAAATATACAATAACACTGAACCACAAATACATAGAGACAGTGAAATAGTTAAAAGACAGACACGATAACTGACCGACACACTGACAGTCAAATACCGTAGTGGTGTCAGTGTCTGGTGGTCACAGTGTATCAGGAAAATGTATGTTGTTACTTGATCAATTATTATGGAATATATTTATAAAACTTTTCCCTGTTTGTCCACACCACCAACCTCCCTCATCCCGTTGAGGAAAAAAAAATCGAAATACGCCGAGTCAAACGAAAACTATTGAACGTTGCCTGCGAATTACGGATAGCATTTTTTTTTTAGTTGAATGTAACAGGGTAAGAAGCGTCACCGTCCCCCTTGCAGCTCATTGGCTCAGGCATAATGTTCGATTACTATTGATACAAAGTCTGACAATTAAGTTCGTAAACTCATGCTGCAGATGACGGTCCGTACCTTACTGAGGATCGGCGCTGTGGTCCCCTTCAAAGTATTCCCCTTGCGATGCTATACTACAGGTACACGAACGTCAGCATTTCTTCCATCCCTGGAAACATTTCTGGATCTCACTTTCTGGAATAGCTTTTATAACTGCCGCCGTGCTACTCTGAATGTCATCCACGTCTTGAAAATGCGTCCCCTTGATGTGTTTCTTCAGTTAAGAGAATACAAAAAGGTCACGTGGGACCAGGTCAGGTGACTAAGGAGGGTGTTCCAGTAAGGTTATTTGTTTCTCGATCAAAAACTCCCACACAATCAATGCCATGTGCAATGGGGCATTGTCATGAAATTTTTCAGCACCATTTTCACTCAAACTTTTTTCATCTTCAAATCTTCAGTCAAAACCTAACTGTTTCCCTGTCAATGTGCACTACATCTGCAATGCTTATCATCGTCAATCGCCTGTTAGCTTGCACAATTTTCCTAATTTGTTCAATGTTTTCCTCAGTCCTGCTCGTTGTTGGTCGTCCTTTTCTGTCATCGTCTGTCACGTCTTCTCTTCCCTCTGAAAATCGCTAAATCCACTTGTAAACTGATGTTTTCTTTAGCGCATTATCCCCATAACTTGGGATAACATGTCCCGAATTTCAGGCCATTTTCCTCAGTTTTATGACAAACGATGTTTGTTCTTTGTTCTCAAACAATGTCATTACACGACAAAACCAGAAAACACTAATACAATAATTGTCACTGCACACGTCCGACTCGCTTGAGATCGACGACAAAATTGGGGTAGTAAGAGAAGGGATCAAGGACACGTGCACGCCACTCACACTCGTTATGGTGCGGCTGCCTGTTGAGCCGGGCGGCGAGTTCGCGAACTTAATTGTCAGACCTCATATATGGCAAATAAATCCACATATACAGTAACTATTAAGGATTCCCAGTTCTGGCTCACTTTAATGCCGAATTTAATGTATGTACAAATATAACTGCTTGAAAACATTAACTTTCAATAACCTCGCAGGGGTTGAAAAAAAAAATCAAGAATATTTACCGTCGAAGTCAAAAACAAATTCACTCTTTCGGAGAGCACATTCGCCTCGTCTTCTCTTTTCACTAATTATTAAGGATCTCCAGACAAATAACCCCAAACACATAAGCGGACAGTTCTTAGTCAGGCTCCTCAGTCACGACCTTCTGGTGAGGTCCTCGGAGCGCTCAATCTCCCCCACCACGAAAAGGTGACTGTCCCCGGGGGAGGGGCTCCACCAAAGGTAACAGTAGTACCTTGGCTACCATGAAGGAGGTCATGACCGCCTCCATGGCCGGAACCCCCCACACATTATTATCCTGGCGTGTGGGATCCAGACGGGTGAGAACAACCCGAGGCGATGACCCGACGTCCTCCCATGGGCGTGAAGGACGGCGTTTCCACCTGGGCTTTATTGTCAGAATTACTTTTCTGCTACCCCCTTCCTCACGTCCCCGTGCACCCAGGCGTGGTCTGGGGCCCAGGTGGGAAGGTGTTTACTTAAGCGAGTGAACACCTTCTCATCTGGGTCAAAGATCACGCCCAGGAGCAAGAGACTCCACGGTATTGTTTGGTGGGACTGGGTGCCGAGGGCATCTCTCCTGTTTACTATGCTATTCAAGACTCTCACCCGAGTCAAGAACCACACGTAAATGCAGGAGACTTCTCAGGCACCTCAAGGAACTCTCAACTGCACCAACACGTGTGAGGTCCAGGTGGGAAGGTATTTACTTACGCGAGTGAACACCCTCTCATCTGGGCCCATAGGTGCAAGATACTCGACTGCACCCACACGTGGTCTGTGGCCTGGGTGGGAAGGTGTTTACTTACGCGAGTGAACACCCTCTCATCTGAGTCACATAGGTTCAGGACACACGCACACTCAACTGCACCCTCACGTGGTTGGGGCCCACAGGTGCAGGAGACACTCCACACGGTCTGGGGCCCGGGTGGGAAGGTATTTACTTACGCGAGTGAACACCCTCTCATCTGGGTCACATAGGTGCAGGAGGCACTCGACTGCACCCTCAAGTGGTCTGGGGCCCAGGTGGGAAGGTGTTTACTTACGCGAGTGAACACCCTCTCATCTGGGTCACATAGGTGAAGGAGACACACTCGACTGCACCCTCACGTGGTCTGTGGCCCAGGCGGGAAGGTGTTTACTTACACGAGTGAACACCCTCTCACCTGGGTCAAGGACCACGGGTTGCAGGCAAGCCTCCGTCGGCACCGTCAACAGCCACTGGTCACCCATCCCAGTGGTCAATCGAGAAGGAGGACGCCGTGGAGATCCAGCCCGAGCTGAACCACGGACCAGGGAGGAGAGAAAGGAAAGAACTCCACCACAATTATGGCAAAGTTGAAAAAGTAATTCTGATAAAGTAAATTTATTTATCTTTTATGAAATACCAAAATTTAAAGTTTGTTAAAATACTGCTTTTGGAGATTGTTATACTGATGGAATCGACGGGTGGTGTGAGGAACACAAAAACACACACACACACACACACACACACGACTATCCCTACACGTCCACTTTGCCTTTTCTTTCGCTAATCAGTTAAGTGAAACTCATCGTATCGAGACACTACATTGATCTGTTCTTCTGGCGCCCAAAAGTATAAGTGCCAGGTAAAATTTTTGTATAAGTAAATATTATTAGCAAGATTGTGTGTTGCTGAAAGGATGGAAACGAAGCCAGGATATGAAGGAAGAGGAAGCCACGATATGAAGGAAGAGGAAGCCAGGATATGAAGGAAGAGGAAGCCACAATATGAAGGAAGAGGAAGCCACGATATGAAGGAAGAGGAAGCCACAATATGAAGGAAGAGGAAGCCACGATATGAAGGAAGAGGAAGCCACGATATGAAGGAAGAGGAAGCCACGATATGAAGGAAGAGGAAGCCACGATATGAAGGAAGAGGAAGCCACGATATGAAGAAAGAGGAAACCACGATATGAAGGAAGAGGAAGCCACGATATGAAGGAAGAGGAAGCCACGATATGAAGGAAGAGGAAGCCACGATATGAAGGAAGAGGAAGGACGATATGAAGGAAGAGGAAGCACAATATGAAGGAAGAGGAAGCCACGATATGAAGGAAGAGGAAGCCACGATATGAAGGAAGAGGGAAGCCACGATATGAAGGAAGAGGAAGCATGATATGAAGAAAAGAGGAAACCACGATATGAAGGAAGAGGAAGCCACGATATGAAGGAAGAGGAAGGATGATATGAAGGAAGGAAGAGTATTACGATATGAAGGGAAGAGGCCACGATATGTAGGAAGAGGAAGCCACGATAAGGAAGGAAGAGGAAGCCACGATATGAAGGAAGAGGAAGCCACGATATGGAAGGAAGAGGGCTTTCACGATATGAAGGAAGAGGAAGCCACGATATGAAGGAAGAGGAAGCCGATATGAAGGAAGAGGAAGCCATGATATGAAGAAGGAAAGAAACCACGATATGAAGGAAGAGGGGCCACGATATGAAGGAAGAGGAAGCCACGATATGAAGGAAGAGGAAGCCACGATATGTAGGAAGAGGAAGCCACGATATGAAGGAAGAGGAAACCACGATATGAAGGAAGAGGAAACCACGATATGAAGGAAGAGGAAGCCACGATATGTAGGAAGAGGAAGCCACGATATGAAGGAAGAGGAAGCCACGATATGAAGGAAGAGGAAGCCACGATATGTAGGAAGAGGAAGCCAC